ATATTTATAAAATTAATTTAAAAAAAATTTTTTTAAAAAATTTTAATTTTTCATAAAAGTAAATCAGAAGGGAATTTATAGTAAATAAGCAGGTAAATTTGCCTGCAAACCTCTACAATCTAAGGGATAATATAATACATATTTATAAAATTAATTTAAAAAAAATTTTAATTTTTCATAAAAGTAAATCAGAAGGGAAGGAATTTATAGTAAATAAGCAGGCAAATTTGCCTGCAAACCTCTACAATCTAAGGGATAAAATAATAATTTTATAAATTTTAGTATCGTCTTAATAATTAATTCGACTTAATATTTAAAAATAGAACAATTTATTATTGGTTAAAAAAGGTTTACTATGGCGTAGCATTTTTTTAATCATCATTTACTCAAAATCAATTTCTTATCTCGTAAGGTGATTTTAATAGCTTAGCCCCCAAATAACTTCGAAAATTATGTAGGATCGAAAATTCGATGAAGCATTTATTCAAAGAAAAAGAAAAAGTATCAATAAGTCGCTTGTAGTTGTTTTGATTTATACATTTTATTATAAAATGTGTAAAATAATTTTGTTGAAGATAATGTAGAAACTAAATTTTATTAATGCAATTAAAAAATTTATTTATCAAATGTAATTAAATGAATGATTGGTTTATTTTAAGATGCAACTAAAATCCATATATGTATTCATACATTCCATATTAGTAAAATGATCATGAATGTTACTTAATAAGAGAACGCATCATTGACATCACGGTGTAACATTTAGTAATATGATTTGGATGTAAATTTTTTTTTGAAACACTTCTAAATTATAATAATATAATAATTGAGTTTCGGTACGTAAGTTCATGGGAACTGTCCGATCCCAGACTGTTTTGTGAACACGGACATAAAATTTTTATGTCCGTGACATGAAAAATTACACTAGATATAGAGATTTCATTCATATAAATTTTTAAAAAGACTTTTTTTATTCGTACTTAATTAATTTGTAAAATTGGTCTTGTCAAGCAATCTGTCGGTTGGATTCTAAAACAACTCAGTAGGTTCATACTATAGATCACCTTCCTTTATAAGTAATTATATAGAGAAAATTTCCGGATGTTTTGTGCGTCGACGAATAAACATATATTTCTATTTATTGAATTTCTAGAACGTGAAGTTTTGAATCCTACGGTATCAGTTTCACTTAGATTTCATTATCATTACTTCATATGAACACATTTTACGAATAAAAATTATTTTAACTTGATGAAATTGTAAATCAATTTTTAAAATTCAGCCACGCAGTTAAATCAGTTTATCGTGGACAAGTTGTTGGCATTAGTTTATTTTCAAGAAAAGAATCTCATGATTGAAGCAAACTCATATTTCCTTGGTTTCCTTAGTATCCGTACTAACCTAACAGGCCATCACATTACGCAGCAAGCTCCATCATATGATTTTGCCGAAGAAATTTAATTCATATTATCGAACTAATAGTTTCTTGGCTTCTTAAGCAACAAAAGGCGAAGTGTTTATTTTGCGGGGATTATCTAGGTTGAAATATAAATAGTTATTGCGCATTCTGCATAACAATACTAGGGAACGGGGACCATTGTTAAGTCTTAACTAAAAAAAAGTATGCGAAAAAAAAATTTTGTATTTGAATAAAAATTTATTATTAAACAATTTTAACATCATTATCTAATTCTTGTAAATATTCTTTTTCAATCAATTTATCAATTTCAAACACAAAAAGAACTTTTTATTTTTTTTTAATTATGAGTGAGTGAGTGAAAATGTAAAAAGTGGTCATTAATTTACGGTATTTCAGATGTTAACTAATATTTGAATTTCTTTCTAGCTTTTTTAATAAGTCTATAAGTCATATTGACGGTGCACTATATAGACAACCACATTCTATACATCAGCCCAAATAGTAAATGAAATAATTAATTTTTAGTTTTTCCGACAATTGCTATTGATATATTTCCATTCTGCAAGATCAGAAGTTAACGAAAACAAGAATTGGACATTTCTGATGTACAGTATAGAGTATTTTCTTAACTAAGCCTTCCTTGCTTTTTGCTATGCTTTGCTTTTGACGACGATCACTCCCGTATTTTTTTTCCAACCAGTTGCTAAAAAAAAAAGTTGAAAAAAGACAATAATTGTGAAATCATAATAAAATAATCGTATTTCTTCGGTGAACCCAGAATTGATATAATTACATAAATCATTTTTATTTTAATTTTTTTTTTGTTACAAAAATTTGTTTGATTTCTTCGAACGATTTCATTATAAACATTTTATAAGTATAGTTATTTATAATAATAAATAAATTATTGTGTTTGACAGAAAATATTAAATTATATATTTTGTTCGGACAACCCATAATCGATTAATTATTAATTTGTCCGTAAGAAAAAAAAAAATTTTATTGTTTTATTTCAAATGAAAAAAAAAATTGTTGACCATCTGCTTGATCTAAAAAAATATGTGTAAAATATTTCTTTTAACTGATTCTTTATCCGCATCGAAAAAAAACATTTAATTTATTCACTATTTTTTTTAAAAATTGTTCGAATGTATTCCGGCTATTATGTTGTGTCATCTGGCCAATATACTCTCTGAACAATAAATTCTTGAATTTGAAAAATAGTACGGTTTACTACCAATAATGGTAATTGATCAACCTTCTAAAAGGGTTTAAATGATAATCATATCTTTGATAAAAAAAAAAATAAATTACTGTTATAGTAATAAGTTTAACTAAATATTGATAATCAATAAAAATAATTTACTAGCTAATAAAATTTTATTTTTTAAATAAATAATTTAGTTAACTTGACAATTTCAGTAACAAATATAATTAAATACAAATGAAAATTGTAACACTTAAATCTTGAAACATAATCACGATTATGCGATTAGAATGGAAGTGTCCTAGCTTACGCTTCGGACAATTACATATAAGAACAACATAACTAAGTTATTTGTGTTACATAAGAGGCAAATAAATTAATAAATATAAACAATGGCTATTCAGCAATTCGATTATTGGTTTCAATAATACTACTTTTGAGTGATTTCTTTTTTTAATATAATTGGTATTTAAATATTTAAAAATAAAGTTACCTTTATTTTAGACAAAAAGTCCTTTATTAATAAATAAGTTAATTACGAACTTTATTTTGATATTATAGTCAAATTTTTCTTGTTCAAAATGTTTGTAAAAACTTTGTAGAGGGAAACTTAATCGTTCGTTTTGAATGTTTATGATTTACAGCTTAATAATACTTATTTTATATCTTAATTTCTTTATGTTTTGTAAATTGATATATGCAATTAAATTGCAATTGTATTTATTTGTCGATGTTTGTTATCGATGATTCTAGAATTTTTAAAGTTAATTATGATTTTACGAAAATTAAATGCGATTGTAAAGTGTGATTTTCTATTTCTAGCGATATAATTTAACTATTTTTGAGGTTTATGCCAATTTATATTTTCTCCGATTATTTAAATGTATTTTGAATAGACGCTTATAAATCGAAAATTAATTTTTTCTTTTTACAATTTGCCATTAACATTATTATTCTATTCAGGGAAATACAAGAGCCTGCTTGTATAGAAAGCTTCATGATGAATTCTTTCCTGATAAAAACCATTACTTTCCAAATTTGAAAATTTTTTCTCTTCAGCAAGATCAAATTGATCAGATAATTCTGTCGGATCGGGGTCGTCACATATAGAAGTAATCCATCTTCCTAATAGCTCGTTTAATTCAAATGCAGTTGGTCGCTTTAAAGGATCTGGGTGCAAACATTGTTTCATTAATTGAATGTAAGCATTTGGAGTTTTCATGACAAGCATGTAATTTGAATTATGATCCTTGGTTATACCAAACAAATCCGCAACACTTCCACCATGCAGACAACGCTGACATTTATAAAGCTTTTTTAAAATTCATTAAAAAATGTTATTAAGTTAAAAAGACAAACGAATAAAAGAATCTTAAATAAAACTTGACTAACTTGATTCAAATAGTCTGTGCTTATAATTTGCGAGTTATTAAGTTTCTTTAGAAAAACTCTTATGGGTCCATTACGTATCCATTGGTCAGCCATTTCATCCCAGATCCATCGAGGACCTTCCATCCAAATCGCTGAATAAATATTGCTAAATGCATCGCCTTTATTTGTATTTTCTATAAGATCAAATCGTTTAAAATCTATATATTCTAAATAATCTATACTTCCATTTGCGTTCAATTGAGTATATCTAATTAAATTATCAAGATTAAGATTTTCGCTTTCCAATATCTAAAATTCTCTTTAAAGGCATCGGTTTCACAATCTTTACACCATCTATCACTGATTCTTTCTTTTCCACAATCTGGGCATTTTCCAAAACCAGAATCAGAACCATTTCCTACTACACCAATTAATGCCAAATTTATATCTAAATTATCAGACATGAGATCTACAAAATTGACAAATAAGTAAATTGTCGATTAGTGCTTTTATTGGCGGTTGTAACACAGATTTTTTTTTTGCATTGCATGTATTTTGATGTAATTAAAAAAAAAAATATTAAGGATCCAATTTTCTAACAAATGGGACCTTTGCAATAGAAGGTGAAACTGCCGAAAAAATCAATTTTTACTTTTATATGCCATAGAGGTTGGAACCAGTTAAAGATTTTTTTTAACCGGTTAAAATAGATGAATTTAAATCCGGTCGAAATTCAATTTCCGGCCAGAATTAAGATTTTTATGATTGCAAAATATTGTCTAACTCTGGCCAAATTTATAGTAC